CCGGAGGACATTTCGTGGAAGATTTTGCCGATTTTTTTCCCTATAAGACGGGCCCTGGTCCTGCTGCGAACCTTGCGCATATCTTCACGATTGTGACGCCTTTCTTTTACCGCCGCTCGGATGTGCTGAACTACACCCAGGGCTGTACGCTATCCATTCATTTGTACCCTCATTTCCAGTACGACACCTCTGCATCTCTGCCACTCTATTTAGTTTCTTTAGACTGTTCTGTCGATGCTGACTCCATAGCACCCTTTCTTCCTCAAAGTAAATTCAATGAGAGTAAAGAATGGGAGATTTTGTAATTTTTCAAAGTGGATCTCTAGTTTGGCGCGGATCTTTCCTGCTAGAAACTCCTCGTTAAAACTTAAACTCAGAAAACTTGCGGAGTGAAAACTTGCGGCCCTCTCCGCAGCAAGTATTTCCGAAATTTTGCACAGGAAATGGCACACAAATTACCAATCACTCTGCAATTCAACGGCGTATTTCAGGTGTGAATTGTGCAAGTACAGTACGACCACAAAAGGAAATTTGAGCATCCACATGCAAAGCGACAAACATCTTCACGCTGTACAGGAACTGCCGAGTAGTATTGGTGAGTGACTCATTTTTGGCCTCAAACGTATGAAGTGGAATGCTCTCAAAATCGACTTCAGGGAATCGAAAGTACCTTAACAATTTAAGAATATTTATCGAATTTCAGCGTCACTTTCCTGTCCACCGGCTCGGTCACCACCGTCGGACAACGATCGCTCGCTAGTATGTGTTGTGTGTGGCTGCTTCTCCAGTGATGATCTGGACGAGATGATCGCCCACGCTGATAAGGTGATTATTACATGGGTGATACAGTAGAAGCTCACCAGGTAAGGGCTTCAGCTCCCTATGAGAACTCTAAATGGAGATTCAGGTAAATCGACAGAATGTAGAAATTCTGGTTAGAAATATGTAAATAAAAATACTTCTTGGGATTAACAATTTGTGGTAACACGTTGTAAGTGGCAAATAGCGCTCACCAGGAAGGAGGCTGCGGGTCGCTATTTGCACTATGTGGAGCTGGGAATCATCAGATCGTGAGATACAAGTGTGACAGTAGTGTACAGAAAAGCAAATCAAACCGTGGAAAACGCCCTAGATAAGAACCCTATTGCTTCTCAGCATAACATGAGCCTGTGGTGCAGAGAGACTGAACGTAGCAAGCAGAGGCAGGAAGTGGTATGGCGAGAGAATATAAAAAAGGCTGAGACCCCATCGCTATATAACGCTGATGAAACGAAATG